GACCTGCAGTCATTTTTAAGAGTGGAAAGTAGGGCTGGTGAGATGGCTCAGTAGAATAAGTGCTTTCCTGGCAAGTGAAAGTGTCTGAGTTCAAACCTTGGTTCTGAAAAAAAAAAAAAAAAAAAAATTCCTTTTTCCTAAAAAGGTCCTTCCAATTTTCTCTGCTACGGTTAGTAATTATGTTATCAACAATCTACTGTCCAAAGTTTACTCACTTGGAACTCACAACTCCTCAGTAACTAAATTCTTTTGATTCTTCTTCCAAAACGTCTTCCCAAGTGCCTTGTCTTCTTTGTCCCATTAAATTAGGTTAGGATTTCACCACCTCAGATTAATCAATCAACAGGTAATTCCTGAACAATTACCATTTGACAAAAACTATGCCAGTTTACCCATAACCCCCATTTTCCAAGCTAACAATTTTTCCCCACTCACAAGCCATTCTTCACATAAATATTAAAATTATCTGCTTCACAGGAACACTCACTAAAAAGTCAGGTCAGCCCCACTAACCATGGGGTACCAAAAGGCTTCTCAAAACTTCCTCAAATCCCTGTTGTCTCAATGTTTCGCTATGAGTCATTATCCCTATTTCTAAAACATGCATATACACTTCATATATCTTCTCAATACTCTTTAAACACAGCTCACCTTATAAACTGGGTTTACTATTTCTGCTGAGGATGCCCTTCTCCTGCTTGAAAAGTTTCTACTCATGAAACCTTTCCTACTTATCCCAGGAAAAGTCTATATTCCCACACTGCACTATATTATTGGCTAATACATTTGTCTTCCCAAACTATAATTTTAACTCACTGTCTTATTAACTTCAGTGATGTCAGGCCTAGGATAGGTAGGGTATTCAATAACTATTTGCTCAAGGAATAGATGAATAAATTAATAGTCCTATGATGTGCCACTTTGAGACATTCAGCCTCATTAATCTTGCACCTTATGTTGAACTTAAAAGGCATTCAAAAAATCTGTTGAAAGAATGAACTATTAATTGACTAGTTACCATACTAATAAATAACTCCCTCATAACGGTAGCCTGTCCAGAGAGAAGGAAAGACTCTAGAATCAAGAGACAAAATTTGCAAGGAGAAATGAATGTGTCTTCAATAATTCACTAAAATATCTTACAATAGAAAAAGAACTTACCAACATAGCCGTTTTTATATATAAAATACATAATTAATCAAAACCACAGAGGAATAAGCAAGTCCATACAGAGCAATCATTTAAAAATACTAAGATGAATCCTTTAAAAAAAGATATGGCAACAGAGGTCGAATCTAGGATTATCTGGGAAATTCCTAGAATATACATTATTCTAATCACTCATCTATTAACAAATCACTTCTGTCAAATGAGGAAAGTTATGATAAAAAAGGAGGCATCACAGGACCAATAAGATTTTAAACGAGTTGACATGGACATTTCATATATACAAAAGTTTATTTTCCTTTAATTGGTCTTTAACATGGAAAATGAAAGCATAACTTTTAACAATGTATGAAATGAGGAGACATAAAAACAAAACATCCTTAACTATATCCTGCCCTCTGTTAGCCACAGTTCACCAGCTGTGACTAAGACTGGAAACAGGAGAAAAAGACATTCCCTGATTTATCCCACAACTTAGATCTATGGCATTGGCTGTAGGAAATGGCAGCAGTGACGGAAGGTTTTTCTTCTCTAAAGCAAAGAGATCAACTCTACACTTAGGGATGTAATCTAAGAAAGCCATCCAGCAAAAGAAAACACACTTATGTGATTCTATGATATTATACTTCTAATTTCTGATAAGGCAAAAAGGTATATATGACAAGAAGGGAAAAAAAAATCACCCTAATGAAGACCTACTGATATTTACATTTGCTCGAGGAACCCTCTGGCCAAAAATTATAGTCTACATCATCACTGAATCTTATCAACCACCACTTAAAATAAGTGACTAAATTAAACTCAGGATTTGGCTTAACTACTTTATTAAGTGTTAAGGCCTTAGCAAAATACGTATTTCCCCACACCCATACTTTACTCCCGAAATCGGGCAGTAAAGGACTCTTGTGGTCACAGAGAAAAAATATAAACGTTCCAAGACACAACTGGGAATTTTTAAAAGGATTCATCAGTTCAAAAGATAAGGGCTTATGAACTACGACAAAAGTTTTCTGCTAACAGCACCTTTATCACAAAACACATTAATCAAAGATCGCTAACAAATTCTTGAAGTTGTCTCTTTATAAAATATGAAAAATAAAAGAGAACTACTGAACTACCTAGTATCTTGACCTGGGACACACAATGAAGCTCTTAACACAAAGACAATGCCTTCTTGCTCCCATGTCAATAAGCAGATGGCAAAACTTTGTAAATCAATGTAAATTCCAGTATTTCAATCTGAGAAAACGTAACTAACATTTCTTAAGTATTCTGTATAATCACGCTCCTTCCCTCACATATTAGTGTTCTACTACAATTCAGGGCAGTTGTGACAGGTCATTCCGCTCAACAGAATCATCATCCATGCAGGGGATGATTGAAAGCCACAGTATGTAAGTAACAACGTCAATTCCATTTGTTATGAAAACTGGAGCTTAAACTTTAAGCCGCAAAAAATGCAGAAAGAGGAAAAGATACTCTTTTTATTGTGGAGAAATGCTCAACTGTGAACTCTGGAGCTCATACCACTACAACACTTTATACACAAGTTACTCGATGTGACACAAGCGCACAAAACAAGGTCTTCCTTTCACTTCGTGTTTCCACTTTCACACCAAGAGATATTTATGTTTCTTCCTTCGGCGGCCCACAAGAAATTACCTATTCCACTACCGCAAACATCACAGCTGCCCACAGCGAGCTTCGTGAAATTACACCTTCAGGTCTAGAATCCGAAAACTCGCAAGACCCGAGAACGCCACAGTCTCGCCCACGGCCAGGACCTCCGAGGCGGCAGCGGGCTGTCACGGCGCACACGGGTCCGGTCCAGTTCGGCTTCCCTCCGCTCACAGGCCAGGCAGGCCTCGAGGTCCGGTGGGACCCCCGGCCTTCCCACCGCCCAGGGCAGGCCGGCCGGCACCGGGGGGCCACTCGGAGCGCTTACTAGGCGCCGGGGCTCGACGCCGCGACGCCCGAGCCCGGACCTGAGTCGCATCGCGCGCGGTCCCCCGCGCCCCGGCTCTCCCGAGCCGAGCCGGCCCAGCCCGGGCCGC